ATACCCCTTTGAAGCGAGGAACCATGATGAGATGAGTTTCAGTTCCGGGGATATAATTCAGGTTGATGAAAAAACTGTAGGAGAGCCTGGTTGGCTTTATGGCAGTTTTCAAGGAAACTTTGGCTGGTTTCCAGGCAACTATGTAGAAAAAATGCCATCGAGTGGAAAAGCTATGCCTCCTAAGAAGGACTTACTTCCTCCCACAGTATCTTTATCTGCTACCTCACCTTCTTCTGAACCACTTTCTTCAAGTCAACCAGCATCAGTGACTGATTATCAAAATGTATCTTTTTCAAACCTAACTGTTAATGCATCATAGCAGAAAAAATCAGCTTTTACTTGCACTGTGTCCCCTGGGTCCGTATCACCTATCCATGGACAGGGACAGGTTGTAGAAAACCTGAAAGCACAGGCCCTTTGCTCATGGACTGCAAAGAAAGATAACCATCTGAACTTCTCCAAGCATGACATCATTACCGTCTTAGAGCAGCAAGAGAATTGGTGGTTTGGGGAGGTACATGGAAGAAGAGGATGGTTTCCAAAATCTTACGTCAAGATCATTCCTGGGAGTGAAGTGAAGCGCAAAGAGCCAGAAGCTTTGTATGCACCTATAAATAAGAAACCTACCTCCGCAGCCTATCTGGTTGGAGAAGAATATATTGCACTTTATCCATATTCAAGTGTAGAACCAGGAGATTTGACTTTCACTGAAGGGGAAGGAATATTGGTGACACAGAAAGATGGAGAATGGTGGACAGGAAGTATTGGAGATAGAACTGGAATTTTTCCATCAAACTATGTCAAACCAAAAGATCAAGAGAATTTGGGGAGCGCTAGCAAATCTGGAACATCAAACAAAAAACCTGAAATTGCTCAAGTAACTTCAGCATATGTTGCTTCTGGTGCTGAACAACTTAGCCTTGCACCAGGACAGTTAATATTAATTCTAAAGAAAAATACAAGTGGGTGGTGGCAAGGAGAATTACAGGCCAGAGGAAGGAAACGACAGAAAGGATGGTTTCCTGCCAGCCACGTTAAACTTTTGGGTCCAAGTACTGAAAGAACCACACCTGCCTTTCATGCTGTGTGTCAGGTGATCGCCATGTATGACTATGTAGCAAATAATGAAGATGAGCTCAATTTCTCCAAAGGACAACTTATTAATGTTATGAACAAGGATGACCCTGACTGGTGGCAAGGAGAAATCAATGGGGTGACGGGTCTTTTTCCTTCAAACTATGTGAAGATGACAACAGACTCAGATCCAAGTCAGCAGTGACCCTATGTTGGCTTCCAGTTGAGAAAGCACCCCAGAGACCCACTATCCAAGTTTGACTCTAGCTGGGAGGCAGGGCAGGCAGCCCTGGTCAAATGTCTCCTACGCAGTTCATTTACTTCCAGTTCATTTACTTCGGTTGAATGTTAGAGCCACTTGTGATTATTTCTTTGTGTTTCTAACTTACATTTAAATTCATTTGTAACAAGCTCAAGGATAGCGGGTCTTTGTGTGGCTTTCCCTTCTCTTCGCTCTGGCACCCTTAGCATTTTTCTTCTCCTTAGTTTGGTAATCGCAGGTCATTGCGTGTGTATCGAGTGTGCCCTGCACATGGGAGTTCACACACACAAAGACCTACTATTTGCACAGACCACCCTCTGGTTGGGAGTGAGCCGCGGTGCTCTCCCAGTGTTATTGCAGCGTGTATGTTCCTCACAGAGCTGAGATGAAGCTTGCTTGTGTTCTGCTATTATGTTTGATCTAATCCTAATCACAGTGAGCTCTTAATCGGCCCAATCTGTGACTTGCCTTTGAGTGCGCGCTGTTTTCTCTGTTACTTTCTTTCTTTTTTTTTCATTAAATTCTTTTATTGGTACATTGTAGGTATACAACAACACAATTACATTTCTCATTGGGAATTGTACCTTATCTCTGTTACTTTCTAACATGCCACCATGAGTACCAAGATTTAGATTTGTTTAAATGCCAAGAACTGGAAATAATCTTTTCTCGAGGAAGGGGAAAGTGGCCTACTCTGGCAGATGTTTGCAGAATGGGATATTTGAAGCCTGTTTAAATTGCCCACGTCTGAGTGCTGTACTTTGGAAGTCTCTTTAGTATCTTTATATGCTCTGGGCTAGTGAGGATTCAGCATCATGTGCAGATAGTGTGACTTTCTTATCAAGGGACTAAAGGTATCATTCTTCAGAAATGAAAGGTGTGCATCGACTGCCAGGCATGCACCCTCCCAGCTGAGACAGAGCACTTTTATCTTTATACTGAATTCAGATTCTTGTTATATATGTTATCGTCATGTCCCAGTGCACAAAGGGACACTGGTTGGCATTCTCCGTGTCTTCAGCAAGGATCATGAGGAATCTGTGTGGGGTTTAAATGCCCCTGAAGCCGGTAACAGGCTCTAGCTGAGCAGGTCTCGAGAGTGCAGGCAGGACACCTCAGCTGCCATTCCCATGTCCCTGGAGCTCTGAGGCCAGGACATGGATTTTACCACCCCAGCTCCACTAGCTAATCTGTTCTTCAGCCACACTGGCTACTTGTGCATAGGATTTTCTTTTTCTTGAATGGAGAATACTTTAGAAATAACAGACATTGTTATAAACTGTATGACAGTACTTAGCTGAGACAAAAGGGAGTTTTAATAGACAGTATTAAACTATATTTGAAAATCTGAGAGTTTATGCAATTTAAAATGTTTACAAACTACATTGCAGTCTACTGTTGGTGATTAAGTATTAGGAAAAGTGTGCATACAATCAGTCTTATTTCCTCACATAGTTCTTTTAAAAAGAAAAATATGTTTTTATATCTCAGTTTAAGTTAGAGACATATTTTGTGCAATATTTGTTAGTGTGCCTCTACATTATGAGTGGACTGGTTCAGTCATACATTGCCTAAATCATAACTTCACAGCACTTGAGAAAAATGAGCAATTTAGTTAAAACTACACAAAATTCAGATGTCTGTGTTCCAGAATCCTTTACATCATTGGGTGTAGGGAGATATGCATGTGTGCTCCCTGGAGTGGAGGTTTCTGGTTATTAAGGCACCTCCTGTTATAGCACTTGGCATTGCTGCTGTACTTTTATAAATAGGACGTTAGTAGGAAAGCAATAACACCCTCCTACAAGTGGGTAGCAGATTCACCTGCAGTCGCTGATGGAGGCTTTGCAAAGATGAGTCCTTGTGAATTCAAGTGACTTTTCTAAATTCTGTGACTACCCGGTCTTACCTTTTATCTCCTGAACTTTCTGCTTTTGCACTCTTTAATTGAGTTCAATTTAAGGACAGTTACTTTAAAAACTGAGGTTAGAAATCAGACTGCTATTAATTAACCACATTGTTTGGTATAACATTTTTTCCTTATAAGTTTGAATTTAGGCTTACCTAATACACCGACAAATCATTTTAAAGATATTTTTGTAACTCGAGTCACTTCACTTTAACACTGATAAATATGGATTATTAGGAATGACATTCAGGTTGAGCCTAGCACCTACAATCAATCTGAAAATCATGTGTTCATCAGGCCCCTGTGGATTAAATCACAGGCCGGCCAATTTTAAGCCAAATGTCAGTCTGGAAAATAAATGTAACTGTTATCTGAAATGCAACTCTTTGTATAGGTATTTTGTCATCTATTTAAGAGAAAGCTAAAAGCAAAAAATGTATGACATATACTGTTAACTTGAGTCCTTCAGAAGTGCATGAAATCCTTTGCAATACCTTATTCAGCCATGTGTTTGTTCTCTTTCTCATTCAGTATAAGGTAGCTTCCAATTTGCTTAGAAGAAAAGAATTTACCTGGGAATACATCTAAATAAATTTGAACACCGTAGGAAGAATTTTTTAAAGGATTGCAATATGTGATGATCACTTTTAACACCTGTGATTAGACTTGACAGGTTTTCCAGCAATGAAAAAAAAAGCTCAAAAACAAAAGCGGATTTTTAAAGAAAATTTAAATCAACCCTATCCACTATATAGTTTCTCTAAAAACCTTACCTTAAAAAGTAATTTTGAACTAAAAGTACATAAAAATTCAATTGCTACTTTAATGTCATAAAATACAATATGAATACTAGTAGTATAAAACAAAGAAACTGGCATTGGGGGTAGAGAAAGAAATGCCAATTCCAGTCCAAAGTTTTATTTGCCAAGTTTCTTAGAATGAATTTTACCAAGTTATAAATTCTTGTACATAAAATCTGTAATGGAAATATTGGAAGACTTTGCCTAAAAGTGGCACTGTTGGATGCTGCTGTGATGGTACTGTAATGTAATAAATTATTAAATTGTTGCAAAGTGCTGTTTTTGCCTTAAATTTTTATTTTGTGTGTCTTGAAAACTATAATATTAAAAGTATTGAGATTGTGCAGATGCTGGGCACGCTTGGCATGAGATAATCTGTTTTTATTTTTACAACATTGTAATATAACTATGCAAGTGTGTTTATTAAAAGGACACAAACTACAAAAAAAAAATTAATTAATTAATTAATTTTTAAAAAGTTAAGTTTGCTTGCAGTTCCATCTTAAAGGTAGACCTTCTTACCAGGACTCTCACTGCCTTTGCCCTTATCAAAGCCCAAGGCTCCCTAGACCCAAGCAGCCCTCATCCAGACAGGCAAGGTGAGCAGACCGTGGCCAGGGTGACTCCTCAGTAATGGCACACGGTCCCTGCCCTGTGCTTAGCCCCAGTGGGCAGAGGTGGGGGCAGGAGATAGCAGAAGTGAATCACTTCTGAGAATCACCTTGGTGCCTGGACAGCCATGTGCTGTGTTTTATCTGCTGGTAGGGTTCTCTGATGCCAGTGGCTCTTCTCCCCCAAACAAGGACCTGCCTGCTTGGCTCGTGTGTCTGTGTCTTGAGGAAAAGTGAGTGATGAGTCCTGCCAGGTCGGACAGTGCAGTAGCAGAGTAGGACCAGTAGTTCATAGATCACAGTGTGGATTCTTCATAGACTATTTCGCTCTTTCCCTTAACCAGGTGACTTCCGCATGGTGGTCGGGGAGGAAAAGGCGAAGGTGCTGAATATCGTGAAGCCCAATGTGGCCCACTTCCGAGAGCTGTATGGCGACATATTGCAGGAGGACCCGCAGGTGGTGTATAAGTGCCAGCAGGGCCACCTGGAGGTAATGCGATAGCTCGAGAGGTCTCAGGCCAGAGTGGTTGGGAGTGGCAGAACCCTAGGACTAGAGTAGTAGCATTTCTCTGAAAAAGCCAGTGCTGCCAAGCCTGGGCTTCCATGTCTCTGGTGACAGAGTAGTAGGGCAAGGAACAGCAGAAGCAGGACAGGGCTGTTTGCATCCTCGGCACTTGAAATTCTCACTACACAGACTCCTCACCAGCCACAAGGACTGAAGATGGGCTCGGGTCTGCCTCCTGCCACAGCCTGGTGGGCCTCCACTGTCACCATCGCGACAGTGTGCCATTTCCTGGGCCCCGTTTGCATGCAGTCTTGTATAGATTTGTACACACACGTAGATGAGGATGTTCGGGCTTTTTTGTTTGGTCTTGTTTTACATGAGTGTTCTCTTACATATTTTTCTGAAGATTGATTTTTCTCTGTTCATTGTTTGGAACTTTGCTTTTTGGTACCAAATAAAACTTTTTAAAAATCAGGGCATTTGTAAGAGTAATATTAAATGTTTGAAACTTTAAAAAAAAAACTTTCTTTGGAGAAAAGTAATTCAAATTTAAGATTTTGCCAACTGTAGAAATCACAGGGCTTTTTTTCCTATAACAAAGAACACTATATTTTACTTCTTTTATCCTCTTCTGCTTCTACATAATAGGGGCAGCTAACCTTATATTAATAGCAGATTCATACAGTATCCAGAATGTAAAAGAGGACTTTTAAAACATAGGAATGATTTTTAAAATAGGACAGTGACATATGAAACACCACCAGAATCTCCATACTTTGGTTTGGATGTGACGGGTTCCCCAAGGCTCCTGTTTTGGGTATTTGGTCCCCATGCAGCAGAGTCAGAAATGGGGCTTTTGGAAGTGACTGAATCATAAGGCTCTGACTTCATCCATGGAGTAATCCATTTAATCTCAGCTCAGTGGCCTTGTTAGGAGGTGGTGTCTAACTGGATAGAGCGGGTCATGGTGAGCATGGCTTTGAAGGGTGGATTTTTGTCCCTGGCCTCTTCCTTGGGGGCTCTTTCCCTGTCTCTGCTTCCTGGCTACCGTGAAGTGAGCAGCTCTCCTGCCCCATGCTCTTCCACCATAATGTCTCTGCCTCACCGCAAGCTAAAAGCAATGGAGACAGAGACCATGGTCTAAAACCTGGGAAATTGTGAGCCAAAATAAACCTTTCCTCCTTGAAGGTGACTTTCAGATCTTTTGTCCCTTGCCCTATAGTAAAATGGACCAACACACCCATCACTCAGTTGAACAGACTTTGAACTGTTTGCTTCAGGTTGAGAGGTCTTTTGTTTTTATTTTTACTTTTATCAAAGTAATGCCTGCACATTGTTTAAAAGCCAAATGGTATATATCAAGGTTTATAACAAAAGAAAAAAAAAAACAGGTCCCCACTGTGCCCTATGCTTTCTTCCTACTTCCCAGAGGCAACTTCTCTCTCATCTCTTCACCTGATTCTTGTGAGTTACCTCCACATTCTACATGATACAATTTCACTGTTATCTCTTGATTCTTTTCAATTTCATACTTTATTTTTGCCATCCTTCGGTGCAGATGAGGATTTTTTTCACTGTTTTACACTACCTTCATCTGTGCACACTCACACACTTTTTCTGTCTCTTTTTCTTACTGTCAGTGTGTTCCACGTAGTTATTTCATAAATATTGGTTAATAGTCAATTTCTACTTTAATATGACAACTTTTTTTTTGCCTGCAGTACTGGGGATTAAACCTGGGACCTCTTACATGCTAAGCACCATACTGCTAAGCCACACCCCCAGCCCTATGATGACGTTATCTTTATTGGTGAGATATAGTATGAAATTCCCTTTCCTTTTGCAAATTTGTTTTTACTCAGTTTAACAGTTGCCTTTTTTTCTTTTACATTTGCTGTGGTAGAGTGGAGTTTCACCTTGGTTGGCTTTGAGAGCTGCCCTGGGGGGTTGAGGAAGCACACTTCTGGGTGTGGCTGGTGGTCGTGGAGGCGTGGCCTTGGAGTCTATGTCTGGTCCCTTGTCGCTTCCCCTCTGGCACTGTTCCCCTGCTGTGCTTCCCAGCCACCATGAACTAAGCAACTCTGCGCCACCACACCCTCCCACCGTAAAGTCTGTGCCTTGGAGCAGCCAATCATAGTCGGAAACCATGAGCAGATTAAACCTCGCCTTTAAATTGTGGGTGCTGGGTATTGTGTCTCTGCAAGGAGAATGCTGTCCAATACACTTGCATGATTTTCTGCTTAAGATGGTTTTGGCTATTTGGTGCTATTTATGGTTCCATACAAATTTTTTTTTTTTTTTGGTACTGGGGATTGAACTCAGGACCTTGTGCTGGCAAGGCAGGCGCCCGTAACCACTGAGCTAAATCCCCGGCCCACTTGCGTGATTTTCTGTGTGGCAGTCACTCTTCCCAAGATAAATGACCACGTTGGGTGTTTTCTCTGCCCTGTTTTTCCTGGGAGCATTCCTCCTAGAGGCCCCTGGCTGTGCTTCCTGGGCTGCCTGTTTTCTGGGAGCAGTGCCCAGCTGCTTTCCTCAAACTTCCTTTTCTTATCAGCCTGCCTGAGGGTTTCCTTTGCTTCTCTCTGTTGCTAGTCTTTGGTTTTTTGGATCTTCTTTGGACCTCACTGGTGATTCAGACTTTAATTTTGGTGTTGTGTGTCCTGTAGTGCCTTCCTGCCATTGGTTGGGAAGGAGGTAAGTTGTTCAGACCAAGTACCTCTGAACATTCTACCTTCCTTCCCACTGACAGACAGATCATTCTGGCTAGATAGCAAACTCTAGGCTGGAAATAATTTTCCCTCACAATGTTTACATCATGGCTCCATTTCTTCTAGCATCCAGTGTTACATTAAAACGACCACTGACATTCCAGTCCCTTTCCTTTGGATGTGACCTTCACACCTCTCTGACAGTGTTGAGAATCTTTCTCTTTTTTCCATTTGTCTTATATTTCATGATGATTCATTTTGTCTTTATAATATTTATTTGTTATTCCAGGAGTTGGTGGCCTTTTCCATTTAGAAATTCATGAGCTTCAATCCTGGGAAATTTTCTTTTATTGTTTCTGTAACAATCTCTTCATGCCCATTTTCTTTGTTTTTTCTGGAATTCCTGTCAGTTGGTGTCTGGGCTTTCTGGTATGCTTGGGGAGTCTCTCTCTCTCTCTCATTTTTTGCAAGGGGGTTAGTTCAGTTTTCAGGAAGAATTTTTCACATTGATCCGTGAATCCTGTTGAATTTTCAGTTTCCCTTGAATATTCTCTTGTAATGGCAGTCTATTATTTTATTGATGAATCATTTTTTCCTCATCTATTTAATGATTCCTACTGTCATTTTTGAAGTTTCTCCTTGCTGCCTTCATTTGTCCCTTGGTTCCTGTTCTCCTTCGACTCTCCTGTCTCTCCTACCTTGGAGAGACATGTGTCTGGATGCCTTTCCTGGCTGTCTTAAAACAGCAAAGTTCTAAGGCACAGTCTGTAGTGGGTAGGCTTGGCAGCTGGGAGCTTCACTGTAGAATAATCGGGCAAAGACTGCTTTGTTAGAAGACTCCAGAGAAACATCTGCTCAAGGCTAGAGGACAGGGAAGGATAATATGCGTGACTGCCCCCCTTTCTCGAAATGGAGCAAGGAAAAAGGCCTGGAAATTCCCTGAAGTGTGAGGAGAGACTTGGTCAGGTGTCCTCCCCATGACCCAGAGGGCTCCCTTGTTCCATTCCCCACTGGCTTCTTTCTTTTTTTGGTACTGAGGATTGAACTCAGGTCCTTGCACTTGCACAGCGGGTGGCAAAACCACTGAGCTAAATCCCCAGCTCCCCATTGGTTTCTTATGTGGTGGTTTTTTTGTTCTTTTTTTGTACCAGGGATTGAACTTGGGACCTTGCGCTTGTAAGGCAGGGGGCGGAACCCCATTGGTTTCTTTACCAGGGAGACTTATAAGATGAGGGCTGAGCTGCAGCTTCCAGTGCTGCATTAGATCTCCAGGCTGCAGCTGATTCTTATCTTTCCCTCCTCTGCCACCCACTCCAGATTCCCTGTACCCTCCTCCAGCACCACCCTGCATCTGTAAGGGATGGCCCAGGCCCAAATCTTCGAGGAGTAGGAGACCTGGGTCACCTCACCTCTCTCACTTGTCCCCTGATGAACAAAACTGGGCAAGGGAGCTAGGCATGGTGGGGCACTTCTGTAATCCTAGCAATCGGGAAGGCTGAGGCAGGAGGACTGCAAGTTCTAGACCAGCCTGGTCAGCTTAGCAACTTACTAAGACTCTGTCTCAAAATAAAAAATATAAAGAGCCTGGGATGCAGCTCAGTGCAGGGCTGTAGGTTCAGTCCTCAGTACCACACACACACACACACACAGAGTTGGGCAAGGGGCACTCAGAGATGTGTGTCCACGCCCTGGCTCCTTTCCATCATCTTCAATTGCTCCTCCCAGTGTGGTAGACAGTCAGGATCCCTATCTGCTGGACCTGAATCGTGAGTCTTAATGTGACCAGTGGCCATCCAAGCTTGAATGTCAGTGGGGTGCATAGGGACCTCTGGCCACCCAGACCTGGAGCTGTGGAGGGGAAGCACAGGGCTCCGAGGTGGGGTACGGGAGGGGTGGGAAGCAGGGCCACGTGGCCTTCCGCCCCTGGGTCCCCAGGCCAGCTGGGAACTTGACAGGATGTGACTGATGGTTGTCACCTTAGCATGGACACAACCCCCTATTTGCACAGGGTGTCATTGCCATGCTGGTGCCTCCGTTGTTTCTTGACTGCTCTGTTATAGATTTCCAGGGGTGGCCTGGGGCATTTTGGGCCAGAAATGAGAACCCTGGCATCCCTGTGCTGATGGCTATGGTGGCCTGAGCCTGCTGCCACCCTCAACACTGCTCTGTGCTGGAGCAAGCCCTGAGCGCTGCTGTTGGTGCCGCGTCATGAAGCCCACTTCCTGCTTCCCGCTTCCCACCTGCCTGCACAGCAGGAAAGGCAGGGCCCAGTCCTCTCGTCTCACTGGATAAGTAGATCTTCGCATCTTCCCTGCGCATGAAGTGTGATGCCTGCAGCCACAGAGCCCCCGGCCTTCTCTCTTCCTGGTGCCACACGAGATGCAGGAAGTTGGCCTTCACTCTGGAGGGGACACCCTCATGCTCCCCACCCCAGATGCCTAAGAACTTGGCTAAGGAGGAAGGCTCCGAAATGCCGTGGGTCTCTCATGCTCATCTCCCACCGAGGCTTCCAGTGTGCTTCGCCTTGGTGCTCACCCGCTGTCACGGACGTTGTGTCAGCGATGCAGTAGATCAGTGAGATGTCTGCACAGCCCGGTTCCCTTCCATTGTCGCGTCACAGAATGAGAGCGTGGGAAGGAGCACCTTTGTCCCCAGGCCTGCAGCCCCAGCGTACCCTGTCCTCGTGTCCTGCTTCTAGACTGACCACATCCCTCCTCCCTGTCGTACTGTGACCACCATGTAGCTTCTGTAAGGACTACACTTAATGCGATGTGGTGGTGTCCATCGATTCTAATACCAAAGTTCTCTAGAGAAACAGAGGCAGCTGAGGAGGAGGGTACACATGGAGGGAGGAGAGAAGGGAGACAGGTTTGTTGTAAGGTGTCGGCTCCTGCAGTCGTAGGAGCCCTAAGTCGAAAGCTCCAGGTATGCAGGGGGTGAGCAGGCTGGAGACCTGGGAATGTCGTGCCTGTGTGTGTAGAGGCGGAACTCCTGAGAGCACGCTCGGGAAGGACTCCTGCTCCCTCAGGGATCTCGATGCCTTCCTGTGCGATCTTCGTCGGGCTGGCTGAGGCCTGTCTGCAGTATGGAGGGTTATCAGCTGTCCTTACAGTCGGCAAGTCAAATGTCCACTGCATCTTAATGCTTTCCCTCAGCATCTGGATGGCGCAGGCCAAGCAGCTGAGCACTTGGCCTAGCAGAGGTGACAGAATGTTCCACTGCGCCCCACTGTGCTCAAGGTCTGCAGACGGCAGCTTCAGAGCTGCCACTTGCTCTTCCACGCTGTGGCGGCTCCACAGTGCCATCTCAGCATCTGCCTCCTGGGACCGGTTCCAGAAGATCAGATTGGGCAGGTTTGCAACAAGAGCCTCATCTGATCAGGGACGGCACTGTGAAGCAGGGGGCCCCTCAGAGTTGTCCCGGCTCAGGTAGAGAGCCCAGGCCTTGGGGTCCCTGCCCTTTCCTGCTATCGGCCGAGGGCATTTCTAGGAAGGGCTCTGCCCAGGCCCTGGTGTAATGAGGACCTGTCCTGAAGCTCACATCTGGGTGGCGAGCCGCAGCATCCATACCATAGGACCTATCTGCTTTTTAAAAATAGTACCTTTAATAGTCAGGTGTGGGGGCACATGCCTGTCATCCCAACACTCAGGAGGCTGAGGCAGGAGGATCACCATGAGTTCAAGGCCAGTCTGGACTACATAGTGAAACACTATGTAGCTCAGTGGCTCCACTACCTGCCTTGAAAATGCAAGGTCTCGAGTTCGATCCCTGGTACCAAAAAAAAAAAGTAAATAAAGCACTAGCTTTATTGATGTATTATTCACCTAAAATTCATTGGTCTTTAGTATATTCGCAGAGTTGTGCAGCCACCACCCGATCTAATCTTAGAACATCCTCATCACCCTGTGAAGAAACCCCAGCCCCATTGTCATCCCCAGCGGGTTCCAGCCACTGGTCAACTTTCTGTCCCTGTGGCCGGGCCTGCTGCGGTGCCGCATGGAAAGGCGGCCGTGCGTTGTGTGCCAGTTCCTATTTCTGCTCTTAAAGTGCAGTTCGACTTTTACAATCTCACTGAAGGCTTTCGAGTTTGTGTTTCAGCGAAAATTTGAAAGTAGGGATAATAAGGTAGAACTTAGCAATTTATTTAAACATGTCACCTAATATTTCATCTTCAGACACATGCTTGTTAATAAAATTCCAGCTCATTCATTTCCTAGTGAATAAACAGCAACAAATACAACTTTCTAATTCCTCCTATTACTTGAGCTATTTTTGCATCCCTAAAATTCCTGGAACTTTCATAAATGTAAGATTCTGTTGAGCTGTCTCAACACATGGCCCCCAAAGAATCTATCATCTCTAGGATAGTCTACAGAAATGGCCGAAAATTAATTCTTATCCTCTATGGAGCCAAATCTAAGTAGAGGTCGGAGCCTGTGAATTTAGGATCATTCCAGTGATACATTTCAAATATTTAGGTAAAAACATCTCTCTACCTTTATTAGAGGCACTAAATAATGCCATTTTCTTCTTTACACAGATTTGTAGTCAGAGTTAGAAAACCCAGACATTGGTGTGTATTTAAGAAATATTTGCTGAATTTAAAAGTGATAGAATAAGTTCTAATTATTAAGAAAGTTGATCATGCCTAGAAAGTCTGGATCTAAAATTTTATGCATTCATTTGTCCAATTTTTTTCTTACTGTTCTTTCTTTCCTTTTTTTTTAAATTTTTTTTAATTTTTTTTGAGACAGAGTTTAGGCTGGCCTTGAACTCACTGTGTAGCCCAGGCTGGCCTTGAACTCTTGATGAGCCTCCTGCCTCAGCCTCCCAAGTGCTGGGATTACAGGTGTGTGCCACCATGCCCAGGTTTCTTAAAGTTCTTATTGCAGTTAACACCCAAACACTTTTTAAAAGAATACAAGACAGATATTTACCCAGAGTGTAGCGTAGTGAGCTGTCAAGTGTGCTGGGTCTGCCCTTGGCAGACAAACCATGTCTATGTGTAGATATTTCTTAAGGAAGTTTTTGGGTTTGTTTTGTTGTTGTTTTTAGACAGGGTCTCACTGTGTAGCCCAGGCTGACCTCAAACTCAAGGTAGCCCTCCTACCTCAACCTCCCAAGTACTGAGATTACAGGTGTATACCACCACACCCAGCATAAAACTTTTTTTTTTAAAGATTTATATTAAGGAAGGTGTTTTGGTCTCTGGTTGCTGACTTTTGATTCAGTGGTGTCCAGGTAAAATCAAATGCATGGCTTGGTAGACATTTTATTTCTCTGTTTACCTTTAGCAGCTTGATGAGTTTCAAATGCACTGGGGATAGAATGGCTTGCGTAACTCGCTCCCACAGAACAAGCAATGACAGCTGGGTGGTATTGACCTGGGTGGTATTGCCCATCTTTCTGAGTAGCTGCTTCACACCAGGGAACTGAAAGTGAATAAAACATTCGGTTTCCTAAAGGGGGAGGCTCCTGGCAGGGGTGTGGCACCTGTGTTTGTTTGACTTGTATTCTATTTTATACCAGGAGAAAACACATACTGGGGTTTTTTGTTTCATTTTGGTTTTGGTACCAGGGATGAACTGAGGACCTTGCACTTGCCAGACAGGTGCGGCGTCACTGAGCTAAATCCCCAGCCTGAAAACCACATATTTAATTACATTTGTATGTCCAGGAGTCCCACAAAACATGAGACCTGTGTGACTTTAAATAGAAGCCATGTGCCTGAGTATTTATAAAGTTGAAAGCATTTCTGTAAACATTGTCTGTGGTTTGTTTTTTTCCCCTCAGATAGATAAAAGCCCAGAAGGACAGTTCACACAGCTAATGACCCTGCCCAAAACCTTGCAGCAACAAATAAATCGCATCATGGACCCCCCGGGGAAGAACAGGGATGTGGAGGAGACCCTGCTGCAGGTGGCACACGACCCGGACTGCGGCGATGTGGTGCGTCTAGGTATGGCCGGCCGCAGCCTCGGGTGTGAGTGGGCTCACTCTTTGTTCTTTCTCAGCTAGCAAGATCCAGAGAGAAATTGCCTCTCAGAAGAAGAGAAACTCTGACAGTTTGGGGCTTTCCAAATGAGTTTTCACTTGTCTAAAGTAAAATGGAGGAGCTGGATATTGTGGGACACACCTGTAATCCCAGCACTCAGGAAGCTGAGGCAGGAGGATCGCCAGTGTGGGATAAATAGTGAGACTCTGCCTCAAAAATCAAAACAGATAACCTTTAAAGTCAGGTGGTGGAAATAATTCTCTTTTCAGGTTGCTGGGTCCTGAGTCACTGTCAGAGGACAAATAGGGCTTCCTTTGGTTCCCCGAGCGACACTTGTAGGAGTCCCTTCCAGCTGCATCTGCTCTCCACAGTGGCCCCAGTGGGAAGGAAACTGATGCTGTCAGTGCCCAGTGCCGCGTGACCTGAGGGAGCACAGCTGTCACTGTCCAGCTCCCCCTGTTGCGTCTTAGACAGTGTTGATCAGGTTTCTGTGATGTGGCCATGTTGCCCGGCAGTGTCCGCAGGGCCTCCCTAACGTTTATCCAGAGTCCAGGCCTCAGCTGAGGGCCCCGCTTCCCTGTGAGGTGGGGCTGCCCTTCTCGAGCTCGTCAGTAAGGAAATCATTAGGGAGTTGAGAATGACTCAGTCACCCTCCTGTTGGCATTCAGTGACCGTCCGCGAGCTGTCCAGGGTGCCAGCCGCTGGCCCACAGTGACAGTCAGCCACAAGCCACACTGCCCTCTGTCACACACGAGCCTGGGCCTCAGTCAGAGACCTGCTCTGAAGCCAGGAGGCACCTCATGTGCTGTGTGTCTTAACATGACCCTAAGAGTATGGTCACTGCTGTGTTTGGCTTTTTGTTTGTTTGTTTTGAGACAGGGTCTTGCTATGTAGTTCAGGCTGGTCTTGAACTCACGGTGACCCTCCTGCCTCAGCCTCCCAAGTGCTGGGATGACAGGCATGCACGACCACACCCAGCCACTGCTGTCTTCTCAAGGTGCTGAAAGACATGTCCTGAAGTGTCCTCTCCATGTATTTTCAGACTGAACCTCTTTCTCCTAGATCAGAACATTTGTTTTTATCTTTTCCCATGTTGGGATTGAGCAGCAGGAGCAGACTTAAATTCCTAAAATGAGCTTTGTGGCTCACCGTTCCCCTAAGATGAGGTGAGGTGGCCCAGGCCCAGAGCATGTCCACCTGTTCCTATGCCATGCAGCGGTCACCCCAGTGGCCAGCCCTCGGCCAGCTGCTCTCCGTGTCCCTCGGAGGCAAGGGACAGAGCCCCCTCCACCTCTCATTTCGGCTCTTAGGCAGTTCACATGGCTATGTCAGCTTCGGGCTCATGGCCCCTTTGGTTCTTCCCCACAGGGCTTTCAGCGATCGTGCGACCTTCCAGCATAAGACAGAGCGCCAAGGGCATCTTGACCGCTGGTAGGAGACTGCTGGACCTCACTCACACAGAGACCTTGGCCTGTGTGGTTAGTGGCCTACAGTAGGGTGCCCGGTGATGTGCAGACAGCCGCTTCGGCAGTGCCCGCCAGGTGCCCAACCTGAGAGGCTCTCCTGCTCCTCCGGGGAGCTCCCAAAGAACTGCTCGGGGGGCTCTCCCTGGTATCACATATACAGCATCACATACACAGCACTGAGAGGCAGTGGTACCTGTGCCCACACGCCAGGACAGCTGCTTGGCACCCCTTGAGAGTCATTTGTGTTTGTGCTGTGCCCTTTCTAAACCCCGCTGCTTTTCAGCCCCATGGCTGTTCACAGGCTGGTGCTGGCCATGGAGATTAGAATCTACTCCTGAGCCCTCCCTTGCCACTCGCCCTCCAAGTCTGCCCTCCTGGTCTTAGAGCTTTGGCTAAGTCCATGTTCAGTTTTAACATTCTGGGCCGTGTTGTCTGCCCCTCCATCCCTGCAGTGGACTCTGCGTTCCCTCTTCCCCTGTGGGACCCTGCTTCATACACTGTGTCTTTCACTTTTTGTTTTTTACAGTGCTGCGGATTGAACCAGGGTCTTGCACAGGCCAGGCAAACACTACCACTGAGCCACCTCCCCTGCTCTTTTATTTACATTTTATTTTGAGATAGGATCTTGCTAAGTTGCCCAGGCTGGGCTCACCCTTGCAGTCCTCCTGCCTCAGCCTCCAAGCACCTGGGGTTCCAGTTGTGTGGCACCACGCTGGGCTTCTGTCACTGGACTGGTGCAAGCTGTCCTTCGGGGAAGCACATGACCCAGTAATTCCCTAAGAGCGTGTGCCTCGGATGCAGCCGGAGACCTGTGCGTCTGAAAATCTCCTTCTGCTCCCACACACAACTGACCCTTGGGCTGCGTCTAGATTTCTAATCTGACAAATCATTTGCCCATGAATCCCAAATCATCACTGTAATTACCCTCTCACCTTCAGCACTGCTGTTGCAGAGTCCTAATCCTTTGTGTTTTCTTTCTGGAAGTTTGTTCGGTCTTCATTTTTCCCCAGGGCTCTGTATCTCAGTGATGCACCTTGGTGTCTGTTTTTGTCTGTTTAGCTGCGTAACCACTCCCCTTTCAGACCTTTTCTTTTCTTGTTTGAGACAGACTCTTGCTCTGTAGCCCAGGCTGGTCTTGGACTCTCCTGGTGACCCTTTGGCCTCAGCCTCCTGAGTGCTAGGGTTATAGGTGTGAGTCAACATGCCCACCTTGCTCTTTCAATTTGGAAACTCAGCATCTAAGGGTACTGTACAAGAACATTTTTTTGTTTGCTTTGTTTTTTGATTTATTGAGACAGAGTCTTGCTTTGTAGCTCAGGCTGGCTTTAAACTCACAGTGATCCTCCTGCCTCAGCCTCCCGAGTGCTGGGATCACAGGCGTGCGCCAACACACCCAGCTTTGTTCTTTCTTTAATCTCATCCCATCTATTTTCTCTGTTTTCTTTCTGAAACTCCTTTTATTCATACACTGGACTTCCCTGACTGGTCCTTGGGTTTTCTTTCTGTGTCTCCTGTTTATTCTCTCTTTGGGTTTTTTCCTCTGCTTTCTGGGAGATTTTTCTCAACTTTAGCTTCCAAATGTTTCTGTTGATTGTTTTTCATTCCCTGTCCCTAACCCCACGGAGCTGGGGATGGAACCCAGGCTTCACATATGCCAGGGCGGTGCTGTACCACCAAGCTAAATCCCCAGCCCTGGTATTATAATTCTGATTTCAGCTCTTTTGTTCTCTTTTCTAATGTCTTTGTGTTTTCATCCCACTCTTGCTCTGTGAATGTAAGCATTTGAACGTAGAGGCACATTGACATTCAGTGTAGCTAGCCCTCCAGTGTAGCCCTGGCTGTTCACAGTCCCCTCACGGCATCTGAGTTCTCTCTTCTCCCATTCTCTCCACACCCAGCAGCACCGGGTGACTGGCCCAGTCTACCCCATGGAGCCGCCTGTTGAGCACCTCTCATGTACGCACTCCTGGGGGTACAGAAGGGAACCCAGCACACCCTGCCCTCTGGAGGCTCAGATTCCAGGAGACAGGCCTGTTAGAAACTGGCAGAGTGGGGAGGAAACAGCACAGACATGGCCTGAAATAGGGAGTGATCATTCAGCCGGCACCTGCACCCTCTTGGGGCTGCTGTGGCCCGGAGACAGTGCAATCACACCTTGGGGTGTCTCCTAGCGCAGCCACCTGGGCACCTGGCCCCCAAGACACAGTGTCGCCTCCTGGATCTTTGGAAAGACTTAGAGATTGGGTAGCTCATATGTCCTCGACTCAGGTACACGCCCTGCATTTCCAGTTCCCATAATCCTTTCCTCTGCTTGTGCTGGACCCTCCCGGCCAGGCTGCCTCAGAGGTGTGCTGTCCACTCGCGATTTGGACTGGCAGTTTATGTCTCACACAGTTGCTGCTCCCCACCACAATCCTCCTTGTGTGAAATTTCTCCATTTTTGGCTTCCCGTGCTATACAGAATTATTAGAATTATTGTTTTTAGTTGTGATGATGGTGTTGTTATGGGTTTTTTTTTTAACTTTTCTTGCAAAGATAGAAAATGATACGATAACTTCTATAGATAAAATGATATGTATGATGCCTGGGATTTGCTCCTGAATCAAACCTGGTGGAAGGAAGTGGGTAAGAGTTGGATGACACAAGATCGGATGTGAGCTTGTGGGCTATTGAAGCTGGCTGCGTGTTAAGAGGGAATGCGATATATGATTCTATCTTTTTTATAAGCTTGGACTTTTCTCTAATAAAAGATAGGAAAGCTCCATCATCATCATCAAGACCTCTTGACACCTCCAAGCTAAAATGAACTTTGTCCTCTTCCCACATGTCCCTTCCCTTCACCAGCAGAGGGCAGTAGGGCACAGAACCTGCAGCCCGGACGCCCGGTGGCCCCACACTGCGGCAGAGGCCTGCCCTTCTGTTGCAGGCGCTGTGGCTGCTCTGTTTTGGTGGTCGTGGGCTGGGGTGCAGGCTGCCAAGCATCATGTCAGGGCAGAGACGAGTGCCCATACCAGAACTTAACCCCTGTGAGCTGTCATCCAGGTTCCCTCATTTTCCTGAGTTCTCATTTCATAGGAATAATTAACCTGCCCTCCAGTGCTCAAGAATTACATCTCAAGCACCTGGCTTGGTGACAGCGCTCTTTCCTTTCCATCCGAGGTTTGCCAGCCTCTCTTTCGCTCCCTTCTCCAGCTGGAGTGAGTGCACTGCAGCAGCACGAAGTGGCCTTCACCTGGGAGATTCCCTGCTGTCCTGCCCTGTCTCTTGTGGCCATAGCTGAGCTCTGCCTCACTTCCACTAGGTCCTTCTCCCTGAAGTTCTTTAGGTATTTAGCCAGCTGATCTATCCCAGGATGAGAACTCCACAGCACACTTGATTTCATTTTCTTTTGTTTATTTTTTGAGACAGGGTCTCACTATGTATTTCAGATTGGCCTGGAACTCACTATGTGGCCCAGGCTGGCCTCAAACTCATGGGGATCCTCCTGCCTGTGCCTCTTGAGTGCTGGGATTACAGACATGCACCACCACACCTGGCTTGGTTTTGTTTTTGTTCCTCTGTACCCCTTATCCCTCCTCCCAGCACAACTTCCTACACGTAGCAGATGAGAGGAAGATTCTGTCTTCCCCTCAGCCAGAAGTGCGTGCAACCCAGGACCTGCATGTGCGCTCTGAACTTGGATGGTCCTCTATCTAAATCTCACTCTGCTCCCAGTAAAGATGGAAACAGGCTTCTGTTCCAGCTCAGCAGGTTATGCATCCTAGTAAAGGGTGTTGGAAAATGCTCAATGTGTTCTCATACAGTCTGACTCTGTCTTTACTAGTTCCCTTGAAATTCCCTGGCCTTCAGATGCACCTTTGTTCAAATGAGAGTGCAGAAATGCCTCCAGAACCACACGCTATGCTCTCTGCTTTGCCCTGGGAGTTCCTGTAGAAGATAATACTGACGTGTCTCAGGCCCAGCTGTTAGTAGTGTTGTGTGGTTCTCATCAGGTAGCAGATCAGGCACTGAAGCCCATGCTTGAGGCAGCCAGAGCCACCTCCTGACACACCTTGCCACCCTCATGACAGCAGCAGATGGCGTGTGTCACCACTGAAGCCGGTAACAGAAGGCCAGCCAAGCACACTGTCACTTCTGAGCCTTTAAGAAGTCCCTTGCACGACTGGAGAGGTGTGAGTGTGCTGCTCCCAAGTTAGGTGTGAAGTGGGCATCGGTGGCCAGCCTGAGATTGGCCTTAGAGCCACATGCATGAGGACAGAGCAAAGCCACCAAGAGCCTGCAGAAAGACCACAAGGACTCAACCCACCTGGGCTGTGGCAGGGAGGGTCTCAGCAGGATCTTGAAGGGCAGGGAGGAGGGGAGGGGCCAGGCCTGAGCCCCAGGGCCCTGGTGTGGAAATCCTAGGGGATGAGGAGTCTGGATTTTGAAACCTTTGTTTTTCCCTACCTCACTTTCTGGCCAATCAGAATTAACTCTGGGGGAAGACACCTGTTTGCTCCCTGACTTCAGAAGCCTCAGCTGAATCACCAGACAAGTCTCATCTTGTGCTAGAAAGGTTCTGGCCTGCCTTTGATGAGCCTCCCCACCCTGTCCTGTGGCAGGGTAGGCTAGATCATCTCGTCCTGTTTCTGAGTTCTTAGGACTAACAGTGTCTTGTTTTTTCTACCTTCCTATTTAAGAAAAATATGTAATAATGATAGATTTTTCTGGTGATTTACTTATCACTAAGCCTAGAAGTCCTTACTTCTGCCCCAGAGGAGCCTTTCTTTGGGAGACGTCTGACTCTGCTGGGAACTAAGTGAAGAGCATTTGGGGACCCTCAAATCTTCTCTTTGAAGAATCTTCTCTCTGAAATCTTGTGGCGGAGACCTCTCACCGCCTAGTCACACAGCTGTGCCTCACAGTGTGGTGATGATGGTGACACTGGTGGCAATGGTGAGAAGACAGAATTGAGTGAATTTTCTT